AATTTGCTTTCTCTGTACCTTCCACCAACTTTAAAACACCTAATGAGAGGCATGAATGGACTGTTTTACCCCAAGGTATGGCCAATAGCCCAGCATTCTGCCAAAGCTATGTGAAGACCCTTTTGTGGCCTGCTCTCTTGCTGCCACATGCCACTGTGTACATTTGTATGGATGATATAATCTTGGGAGCTCCAAGCCCCCAACAATTAGAAGAGTTATATAAGGTTACACAGAAATGTCTACGGACAGTTGGACTCCATGTATCCACTGATAAAATACAGACTATTACTCCCTTTAAAATTCTGGGAACCACACTCTCTTTGGAAGGAGTAAGTCCTTTAAAACCACAATTGGCGGTCAAGCCCACCATAACGCTGACAGAGCTACAAAAATTATTAGGAGAAATTAATTGGCTATGAGCCTGGATGCCTATTCCCACTGAGACTTTAAGACCACTGTTTCAGTTGCTAGTAGGGAAACAGCCTTCAGAACTAATTCACCTGGCTCCTCAACACCTGGACATCTTACATGAGGTCCAGGATGCCCTGGACCGAGCCCAACTTGCCCAGTATACACCTAGTAAAGATCTTGAGTTATGGGTACTCTCCGGTGAGACCCTGATGACATCCGTCCTTGCACAGGACGGGAAGCCCCTTCAATGGGTGCATGCCTCTCTGGGAGGCGTACCACGGGTTTATACACCCATGGATCAATTGGCTGACCTGATTGAGAAAGGATGTGATGTAGCTCTGAGATGTTATGGCATAGACCATCTTAAAATTGTTATCCCCTATCAGCATAGGGATTTTGAATGGCTCTGCAGAAATGATAACCAAGTGGCCATAGCCTTGGAAGGGTTCCTGGGAAATCTGGACTGTCATTATGGCCCTCATAAATGGTGACCTCCTTTCACGCCCTCTGTTGGGACACTCCCTAGCTCTTTGTCAGGGAGCCCTTAGTAAAAGCCTACAATGTTTTCAGTGACGGGGGCAGATTTGGAGCTGCAGTGGTAGTATATCCAGGGGCAGATGAGAAACCAAAAAGATATGTCCACACTTGTGATGGCTCAGCTCAATTCAAGAAACTCATGGCCATTGCTTTAGCATTAACAAAGATGAGTGAGCCCATGAATTTGTTTTCTGACAGTCTGTATGTAGTCAATCTTCTTCCAGGGCTATTAGGTTCTCATATCCAGTTAGATGGGAACCACATTACTCCCTTGATGATTCAGACTCTTACGCTCCTTAAAGAGAGAGAAGCCCCTATTTTCTTACAGCATCTTAGGGGGCACCAAGGATTGCCTGGGCTTTTATCCCAAGGCAATGCAGAGGCAGACTAGGTGGCTTCCACCCAGGTCCTGTCAGCAGGCCTGAATGAAGCCCGGGGTTACATAACCTCACTCACATAAATTGACGGGGACTCTGTAAGAGGTTTCCTCAAGTTCCCATCAAGGACCTAAAGAAGATTGTACATACCTGTAAGTCTTGTCAACACTTTCCACAGGTACCGCCTCTGCAACAGCCAGGGGTAAACCCCAGGGGACTCAAGCCCAATTCCTTGTGGCAAATGGATGTCACACACTATGCTCCTTTTGGGAAGCTTAAGTATATTTTTGTGTCCATCGACACATTCTCGCATGCCTGTTGGGCTACCGCTCATACAGGAGAGGAGTCTAAACATGCTCAGTCTCATTTTCTCAAGTGCTTTGCTACGTTGGGACTGCCCCAACGAATTACAAATGATAATGGACCATGTTTTGTGAGCAAAAATTTAAAAGATTTCTTTTCACTTTGGGGAATTCAACACAATACAGGAATTACCTACAATCCCCAAGGTCAAGCCATTATAAAACACAACCATCAAAACCTAAAAATTCAATTAAAAACAAAAAGGGGGAATAAGCCCCCACCAACAGTTGGGTATGGCCGTATTCACTATTAATGTTCTTAATTTTCAAAAAAATCAGTTGGAATCCCTGTTTCAGAAGCATTGGGGATGACAAGGTCAGAGACCTGAGGTATGGGTAAGATGGAAGGACCCCATTATGGGGCAATGGAGAGGCCGAGATCTATTGCTAACCATGAGTCAAGGCTTTGGGTGTGTCTACCCTACAGGAGATTCAAACCCCATATGGGTGCCTGCGAAAAACCTTGAGTGGGTAGTCCAGGATCCGACAGACTATCATGATGTCCACGGACAATAGTTCATGAGAAAAAATTCCTCTCTTTATTTGTATCCATCTGAGGTAAAGGACTCAGTTCCTTGGCTTCATTGCCAGTCAGCCTCTTTGACAACTGGCCGATTGGCTAAAAGGTACACAGTCTCAGAAGTATTTCAACTTGTCCTACACCATGACTTGCTTTGTTTCTCTTGATAATGCTTATCTTTAAGTGTCTTTACCAGATAACTCGGCAACAGAGGAACCTTGGAACTGCCATGGCCCACCTTCTCATGATTACAGATTCCCCCAGGAATATACCCCCTCCAGTTGCCCACACTTGGCTAACCAAGTCAGGCAGGGACTTAGACTGTCACGGGCTGGCATTACCCACGTGGCTGCCCTTAATCATGATGCATTTTTAGCCAAGGATGGGTAAGATGTCCCATGACAAGTACTCCTAAGACAGGACATGCATATGGCCAGGTGCATGATCCAATGACGGGCAAGTCTTGATCAGAGGTTGACACAACCTAAGACAGGCAAAAATGCATAAGATTAGAGGAAGGAAATAGCCATCTCTACTCAGGGAGCCATCTGTGAGGTGGGTAACCCATGAAATAAAGTCAGTCCAGCCTTAAAATAAAAATAAAAAGGGGGAGATGTGGGGACCTAAAGGCCCCGCCTTGCAGAAGTCCGAGAGGAAGTTACTGGGGCACGGCCTGGCTTGCTTTGAAAGTCTGAAGAATACTTCTGCACTTCTGAGGAGTGCATGATCTGTGCATGACCATCCTTAAGATAAACCCTCAGGCGGGGAGGGAGGATTTCCAGGTGCCTTTATAAGCTCTGTAACACCTGCAATAAATGAGTCCCTGCTTGACTAGGCTCCCCGTTGCACCTGAGTGTTCCCGGTACTGGGGGCAGCATGGGCTGGCGACTGTGTGCTTACTCATCCCCAATCATCACTGCCTTGGGGTCACTGGTTCTAACAGCCAGCACAAATCTACCAGTGATGAAAGAAAGAATATGGCAATTTACACAGAAAAATAAAAACTGCAATCAACAGTGGAGGTTACTATTTGTTTCTGTGTTGTCTAGAGAAAGGCAATAACTACTGTAGAGAGAGTAATCTATTGCAATGTAAGTTGGGTTGCTTGAGATTTAATATGATCTAAAACTGTTCAGTAGACTAAGCATTAACTTTTCATGTAAAATCATTTAAATATAAATTACAGGGCTGGAGAGATGGCTTAGTGTTTAAGAGCATTGGCTGCTCTTGCAGAGACTCAGGTTCAGTTCCCAGCACCCACGTGGCAGCCAACAACCATTCGTAACATACATGCAAGCAATATACTTATACATATAAAATAAAAATAATGAGTAAAATATAAAAAATGAAATTACATATGCTAGATAACATTTAAAATCAATTTTTACAGTAAACTTTAAATGAGAGCTAAACATTTAAATATAAAATTATGTATCACTACCTAGCATTTAAAAATCAACTTTTCAGGTGTAAACTTAAAAACAGAAGTAAACTAATAACAGCACAGAAAACGTGAAGTTAGAAACATCTTGGAGACAAAATAGAAAACCACAATACAAAATTTCTCTTTAGAAGAGTGCATTCAATCCTTCAAAAGATGAAAAAATATTTTTTTCATTATATTTGTATAAAACCCTCTTAAATCCCCTGAAGTTTGTAAGCAAATGTTAAAAATTGCCACTCATACAGAGGGAACAAGGGCATAGTAGACTGTACACTTTAAAATGTCATTCTGAAGACAAGGTTAATTTACCAAAATCTAACCACTCAATTTGTTTTCAATAATGATTTAAAAAAATAGATGTAGGCTTTGAAGGAAAATAATTTTCTCCTACCATGTGTGCACATGAGCCATAGTAATAAGTTAACTGTTCTTTTTGTGTGTGTGGTTTATTTTCAGTCTTTTTGAGACAGGGTCTCCCTGGAGCCCCAGCTGTTCTCGAACTCACTATGCAGACCAGGCTGGCCTTGAACTCACAGAGATCTGCCTGCTTCTGCCTCCCAAGTGCTGGGATTAAAGGTGTGCACCACCATACCTGGCTAACTGTTCTTTTCAATGTGCTTGAATTTTTAATGCAACATACTACTTCAAAGACTGAAGTTTCTGGTATCGTATAGGTTTGGCACAAATTAAGTACTTTGTGAATGAAGAAAGTACAAGCTTCTCATATGCATATTTGGGTTTACTTTCCCCTAGCACCCTACAGTAGTTTGTGTTAACAGTGTGGGGACTTTGTTGTTTTTTTCCCTCCCATAGAGGCACAGAATTTGCCCACAGAATGGAACTCAGTAAAAAGATTTTAGCCTTAAATTTTGGTAAAATTCAGGAGCGAAGAAGAGAGGACAGAGCTATAAAAACAGTGCTAGTAGAACACAGAATTCTCTTCAGAGATTCAAAAAAATATTTTTATTTCACATTTTTATTTTATGTGTATGAGTGTATTGCCTATATGTGTGTAAATGCACCTGTGTTGTGCAATGCCCTTGGAGTCAGAGGAAGGTGTTGAATGCCCTGGAACTGGAGTTACGGACAGTTGTTAGGCACCATGTGGGCACTGGGAATCGAACCTGGGTCCTGTGCAAGAGCAGCCACTGCTCTTAACTACTGACCCATCTCTCCAGTTTCACATTATTATTTTTTACAAAATGGTACAGTTGAAAGGGAGTCTACACAGATTCCTCTGTGTGTATCTTGATAATTATTAGGGTAGGTTGTGAGGTCCACTGAATTAAGTATATATTACCAATCACCATGAAAAATTAATTTTAGTTATTTAACACTTTTTAAAATGAAACAAATAAGTTATACTCATGGGCAATCTAGAGGTCAAACCTCCACATGATTCCTTTGTTAGACAGTCTGAGGTTTTGTTTCTGCAGCTCCAATGCAGCGTAACTTCTGCTGATACTGAGCATGAGGTCTATTTTTGGAATCACACTGAAATGATGCAATGTTCAAAGATCAAATCAACTGAGAATGTGAGTGAACAAAGTTTGCTATAACCGCACACTAGGGACACTACGTCTGTCAGGCAAGTGAAAGAATTCATATGTAAGGGATTTCACCTGATAAATGATTCAGCCTTGAAGGAAAAAGAAAACAGATGATTTCCTTTATGTTGGTATATTTCTTTTGAGATACAATCTCTTTGTTACCCAAGTATTGTGTAAAGATTTTCACACACTACTCATAGACAAAATTAACATCTTAGAGGGCAAAAAAGGCCCCAAGTTACATCATATTATATAAATACTGTGATTAACACAGCATAAATCTGTGTTCCCAAATGGAGAATACAGAATTACTTCATAATGGACAGCAGTGTTTTCTAGTTATAACTGGGAAATGTGTTATCATCAATAAGTGACCTTTTTTCTTTAATGTGAATAAGCTATCAAAAAGTGATCATGAGTGGTTCCATTAAAATAAGGTGGTTTTTGAGCCAGGCGTGGTGGTGCGTGCCTGTAGTCCCAGCACTAGGGAGGCAGAGCAGTAAGATCTCTGTGAGCTCAAGTCCAGCCTGGTCTACATAGTGAGTTCCAGGCTAGCTGTGGCTATGGGGAGACCCTGTCTCAAAAGGAAAAATGTTGGTTTTCTAGCAAAAGGACTGGAAGTGGACTTAATAGATTTTAATGACTACTCCCTGTAGCACAGCATTGAAGGAAGGTCATGTTTACTTTGCCTAAAGATTTAATTGTCTAGAAAGAAAGTCATCCTGGACATTAAGAAACATCAAGATGACTTCTGGGTTATGAGTATCTACCAGCCATATTGCACTGCAGACCAAGAGATGGAAAATAGAAGCAAGTCCCGCTTCTGAGGCAGCTGTGCATAGGAAAGGAGAGTGATGACCTGAGTGTCCTTCCAACTCCTTCTATCTAGATGTGCTAAACCCTTGGGAAATGGAATTAACATCAAACATTCCTCAGTGGTAACCAAAATCACAGTCACATTCTGTGTCATAATTTGTACTTTGATACAAAAACTATTTTAGTGATACAGTCCTCAGAAAATTATGTTAACACAAATAGCTATGAATTATTTCTGATGGATAGAAATTGTTCTATCAAGGAATTGTATTGGGGTTTAAAATACAATACTGATCAAAAGCAGTGGAGATGATTTATCGTAATCTAATTTTGAAATGCTATAAAGGTCCCAAAAGCAAAAGTTATGTCACATTGACAGAGGCAGGATTTCATGGTGGTGCAATCCTATAATCCTAAAAGGATTACAAGTTCAAGGCCAGCCTAGGTTAGGAAATGAAAATGAAGTTCCAATAACAATAACAATGATAATAATATATGGTCATGAATCTAAAATGAAGGTGTAAACTCATTAATGGTATGTACAAGCCTGAGTCAGTCATTGGCTATTACTGCAGATTATAATAGTAATACAAACATTCTTAGCATAATTTAGACAAGATCGTGGAGTTCCTTTGCAAATGATATAAAGAATATGGACTATAAGAAAAAAGCTTGAGATCAGAACTGGCAGTCTCACCTCTGTAGCAGTGCTCTGATTAGCTCCATTTTCCAACAAATATTTTACAACATCAATGTGATTCTCCTGGGCAGCCATGTATAAGGGCGTGAAGCCATTCTGGGAACAGAGAGTAAAAAAAAAAAGACAACATATCAATCATTTGAAAAGTTTCAGCAAAGTCAAAGTTAATTCACAAGGAGGAAATACACATAGAGCACCTATATGAAATAAAACCTTAATAGAATTTAATTCTATAAAGTATCAATTTTTCAGAATGTAATTCTATAAATAAAAATGTTAATTTTATAGAATATACTTCTATAATATAAGATTCTCACTACATATGATACCTACATAAAATAATATCTATAGAATATGCTCTGTATTTGTCAATCTATGAACCATTTAAAGAGATTACCATTGTCTAGAATGTACATAATTTATTACTCAGCACTATAAATGATTACTTATACCATATTAGGCTAGAAGAGATCATAAACTTGTTTGAAAATGAAAAAGTCTGCACTTCTGACTGAAGTAGCATGGTTTATTCTATACATATACATATAATATTTTTAAAGCCATTTTGAAATTTTATCATTCATTTTCACATTCATTTACTCAATTCTTTATTAAAGCACAGCCAGCCTGCTATGAATACAGTCACAAACAAAACAGACATATGTGCCCTCACAAAGTATGTTCCATAATGACAGTCATTATTATGGACTTACAGAAAAAATTCACTGAGATGAGTGGTCATGAGATCCTCAAGGGAAATACACCATGAGTTTAAAACTTATCTTTTTTTTGTACACTTAGGAATATACAAACTTTGTTAAGGAGGAAAAAAGCACACACAAATATATTTTTTTAACCTTGTATCCTTACAAATTCTCAAAACCTAGCAATTTTCATTTCAGACTATTTAGCATAGACAGTTCCCTTAAACTTAACCTGTATGATGAAAATAAGTAAAAGTATAGGTGAGCACTCAAGGATTATTAAAAACCCCAAAGAGGGCAAAGACAGGTTTTTAAGTGGCTTTTGAAATAAAAATCATTTTGCATATACTATAAAGAAGTAGAAATATTATTCAAAGTGGTAAAGACCCAGCAAATTATAAGAATACATTAGTAGAAAAAATAAGAAATTTAAATTTTGTTTATGAAAGAAAATATGTAGGTTTCAATGGTAGAAGAAAATTTAAAACTAAAAAGAAGTAGTTTAAGGAGAGTAAATTAATAGTATTGTAAGCTAACTATTGCTAGCTTGATTCAAAGCATACTAAGCCAGTGAAATCTGGTGTATTTTAAGAACACTGAAGAGGTGTCGGAAGGATGGAATTAGAAATTCGAAGGAAGGGAAAGAGGAAAGGTGATTCAAAACGACAAGTGGGCTCTTCACAAGCAAAAGGCGGGGATACAGAGAGAGACAAAGAACAGTGACAGAATACTATTTACAAACATTTTTCCTCTGATAGAATTTTGTAGGTAGATCAAGAGAAAAGGAAATAGACAGTGGTCATGAGATCCACAAGGGAAAGGTATACCACAAGTAGACCTTAGCCAGTGGAAACACTGACCAATGGGTCCTGAGCTACAGAAGAATCTTGTCTTACCAAGTAGGACCAGGAATCCTAGGATAGAGGCAATGCACCCATTGTAACTCCATGACCCGCTGATGTCCAGCACCCAGCTACCAGAATCAGCACGGCCCAAGTGTTTGCTCAGACTTCTTCCCTGTCATCCTTCCAGATATGCTTTGACTGAATAACAGCCTTGTCTTACACATAACCATATTCATCTGTATTAGTTATCATTGCTGAAAAAATACCTGAATATCTAAAGGAGGAAAGGTTAACTTTGGTTCACAGTTTCTGAAGGATTTCAGTCCCTCATGATGGAGATGTCATGGTGGCAGGAGGAGCTCCGTCCAGGACAGTGGAAACATGATGCAAAGGGAATTGACATGGCCACAGACCAGGAAGGAGAAAGCAAGACCAGAACCAAGTGTATGCATAATCTTCAACCTAGACAATATTAGGGTTAGGTTTAGGGTTCATTCTAAAATACTGCCGTTAGTGACCTACCTCTATCAGACAGGCATTACCTCCTAAAGACTCACAAGTGGGGCCCAAGCATTCAGAATATGAACCTGTTGGAAAACTGCAGACTGAAATAATAACACCATCCTAGTCACTGGAATCTGTAAATTCTACTTTATATTTGCAAAGGAACTTTGTAGATGTGACTGAAGATCTTAAACTGGAGAGATGGTTATCCAAGTGGGCCCGATCCAACTACAAGGCTCTTTATAAAAGGGACAGCTAGGAGTTCACAGAGAAGCTCCAATTCTACTTTGCTTGCTTTAATGATAGAGGAAGAGGTCATGATCCAAGGAGTGCACCTCTAGTAGATGGAACCAGTTGGGAAATGGATTTTCACATAAAGCTTCCATAAGGAAATAGCCTTGTCAGCACATAGCTTTAACCCTGCAATATTAATTTACAAAACTCACGGAGAATAAGTTTGTGTTGTTGTGAGCCACTGAATTTTTTAATTTGTTATGGCTGTTAATTTGTTACAATAGCAACAAGAATCAAATACACTGCCTCTGAGCTAAGGGGGTAGGTACAAAAAGCAGGAGAGGAACAAAGCCTGAACAAGTTCATGCTGGGTGTCTACACTTTTCCATCTGGTTCTCCTGTAGTGCAGCTGAAGCCAGAGATGGGTAGAGAAGAGGGTCTGGCTGTGGTCCAGGGTTCCAGAATTAGTACTCTCTGTACCACAATCCTGTATGGAACTGAAGAAGTTCTGAGGAGTCTAAATTTGAATCTGTGTTATGTTGTTACAAAGATATTTGTATTTGAGTGTTTTAGTTTGATCTATAGCTTCTAATTATACACACATACTGTAACTGAGCCTCTTCTGCACTTTTGTCCCGTGACCTGCAAGTGTTAGAGGTAGGTTAGAGTGGCAGAGGAAAAGAGAAAAACATTACATTTTAGAAAATATGATCTATAAAGGGGAAAGAGAAATGACAGCTCAGTGCCCAGGATCTTCATTAGAGTGCATCAGGAATAACATTTGCACACACTTAACACAGGAGAGGAACACATAGGAAGAACAGGAAAAACAAATATTGATTGAACTGGGTGTGGTAGCCCACACTTTTAATCCCAGTACTCAGGAGGCAGAGGTAGGTGGATCTCTGTGAGACCAAAACCAGCTTGGTCTACACAGGTCAGCTGGGACTATGAAGACCCCTGTCTCAAAAAACAAAAAACAAACAACAACAACAACAACAAAACAGAAAGATTTATTGAGCTTTGCTGGATGTTATATTATCCACTGTGAGAAATGCACTGAATATTCCTCCTCATATGCTCTAATTGACCTAGGACATGCTATGTTTATGCATAATATCCTGGAATCATTATTAAGAGTGCCTTGGTTTGAATAAATGATCACCAAAATCCTTAGTACTGAAGCAGCTGCATTATTATCCCCATTCCAACCACAGCAGCTGTGGCTCCAATACTTAATAATTGGACCAGTCTCATGATCACTAAATGAATTGAGAGTGACAGAAAGGGGCCAGATCATAAGTTACCTTCTTGTAATGAGAGGTAAGTCTGCCTGACCGTGAGACAGAATCACCACTAATAACAGTCAATAATGCCTAAGCAACCCCTGAACACCCTTTCCTTGTTGAGTTAGAGTCTCCTTGTATGAAGCCCAAGGACAAGCATTTTTTTTTTCTTTTACAAAGCTCATTATTGCAAGCGATTAAGTTTTTTATAGGTGATGGGGAACAGCTGAATTGTTTGATGGAGGGTATTCTATGATCACATTTGCATTTTAGAAAATTCCCTCTGGTGACAACAAATGTCTTGGTTTGAATGTGGTAGGGGATCAGAACAGGAGCAGGCCTTTAGTTAATAATGTATATAAAAGATGAAGGTAATGTATATAAAAGATGAAGGATCTGGAGTCATAGTAATACCACGGTTAAGAATAGAGAGGTTGTTTCTGATAAAACAGGTCAAATAAGGAAATAAAGAACTCCTACATATTCCAAAAATAAGAAAATCAGCCTTTCTTTCCTTGTAATATTTAGCAAGAAAGGGCCCACTGGGGAATATGGACTTCCTCTCTGAGTAATTAGGCCAGAGCACAGCAGAATATTGACACCTTTATAAACCTTCTAGGAAAGCATTCATTGCTACTCATGTATGTCAATACAACATATATGGTCTCTGATATAGTCATGAGAGTGTGTCCCAATATATCATGTCCCTATGTCTGTCTAAAACTGTCTGACTGTAAGGATATATGAAAGTATATATAGTTTCTCATTGTTGATATAAAAAAGTCAAAGATAACCACACCTGAGCTGATACTTTATGCATGCAAGGAAGGTACCTTAATCAGTTGTTACTGTAATTCTGGAATGATCAATTGATGCCTCTAGCAGCTGCTTATAAATGCTTGGAACAGTATCCCTGTTTTTAGGATATTAATTATTTCTCATTCATTTACACTTATTAAACAAAAATATGTTTGGTGACTGTTCACTGCCCAGCCCTGTATTCAGAGATAAAAGACAAAATCTCTTTCATGAGAACTCCCACTCCAAAGCTAAGATGAGCAAAGCAGCGACACATCTAACTAGCTTTTCTTGTGGTGGTAGTTACATGTTCTATAAGAGGATCACAGATGAAGACACAAAACTCAATTGTATGAGGAAATTCTGTCTGTAGAATGTCACTGGAGTGATTCACCAGTGTGAAGTGAGTCAGAAAAACATGGAAGTCAGACACAGAGGCAGAGAAGGGCTTTCAGAAGAAACACCAGGAGATGAGAGAAAAGAGAGGGAAATTGGCCTTATAAACAACCTGAAGCCAGGGGACAAGGGGATGGAGCTGGGTGGGGCTGAGCTGCATCTGTCTTGCTAAGGAGTCTGGATTTTGTTTTAAATGACTTAGAAGTCACTGGGTTTCTTAAAACAGTCACAACAGTTGCATTTTAAAGAGATTACTATGCTAATAATGAAGAGGATGAAACAGAAAGCGGTCTGGCTATAGTCACTGAGAATGAAAGGAAGATTTTGTA